ATTGCCATGTCATATGTGCCATGTATCTGCGTCGGCTTGCGTGTGAGCGAAACATAATTGCAACCAATAGATTGGATTGTAATCATCAAGAGAATGATCAAAATCATGATGCGGAATGGGAACAATGCCACAAGAACAACAATTACAAACAAGGAACGTCTCAGTCATCGTACGCCTCAACCACAAACCCCATCCTTACATTCCTTCCCCTTATCCCTCGAGCTCATCGCCGAACACAGCGAGCACGAACCAAGTATTCATCACTTGTTCCGATTAATCGCTTGTAACAACATTCACGATAACACTCGTCGTCGACTCGCACGCCATGCGCGAATCAAATCATGCTTTTCCCGCACAGAATAGAGCTTGTGTTTGCATCACCTCTCAATGCTACGATAGACGAGGTCAGTTCAGTTAATTAACTATGATCTTTCAAGTCTAAGTTGATTTCAGGTCTTGATACATCTTCGCCACTTCCGCTATTCACCTCTTTACACCATCTTACATATCTAACTTCAACTTCAGCCCGAATACGCGAGATCATGACAATGGACGGCGCAATCGAGCGTCTTATGCGCATTCTTTATGATTACTGCTTGTGTCCTCCTCCGCCAGAGATCCCTGGTTACATATACGGTCTTTCTCCTCCAAACTCACGCCCTTCAAAGCTTATCCCAACAATCAACCCTTTAAGTTATGACAAGCACGCCGCCTATCGATTTAGCTTGGCTCTTCAGAGTATCGTTAATATCGGTATAAGAGGCAGCGAGCCGATCCGCAGTCGCATCGTTCAGGCTGGCGCCCTCGAAGTAGTCGGTTGTATCCTCGAGTCATGGTTAGCTCATAAAGGGTTTGCCATCGGTCCCAGTTCAAGCGCATCCGGTTTACCTCGTGAATCTCGCGAGCATCGCCTCGCCCGTCGGGCCGCACTCCAGGAACAAAGACAGCGAGAAGAAGCAACCCAGCTCCACCGCGCACTCCAACGTCAAATCGCCGCCGATACCGCTAACCGCACAGACTTCATTACATCCCGTATCGATTCAATTCAAGATGTCTGTCTTTGTGTTATATGTCATCTCCTCACTGATCCTCTTTCAGGATGCAACAATGGCGGATATCGGTACCGAACCTTCCTATTCGAATATTTCTGTGCATCTGGGTCAAACACCTGCTCCCGTCCAAGTACAAGTAGCTACACGTGAACGACCTTATTATACCCGTCACTCCTCATCATCATCTCATGAGGCAGATACTTCTGCCGAAACATCTATCAATCCCACACCTCAAGGTACAGATACACCGGCTATAACTGTCCTGGTCAATGCTCGTGAACGCAGCGGTACCATAATTGCTCGCCGTGCTTGGGACGATCCCGCAATCGCACCTGCCACAATGCGTACAAGGGCTCATCGTGTCCGCCCTACTACCGCGTCACCTGATGAATCGACCGACAACTCAAGACCTGAAACAGAAACCGAGGATGATGGTGACGCAGACGTCGATATGTCGCAAGATACTGATGACAGTGCAGCTCCCCCTGTCTCAGCACCCCGTGTACGGCAGCCTTCACGATCGATGACGCTCACTCAGCGTCCACGCCGTGCTGTGGGTATAGTCTCAGATGCAGTCCCAGGACCTGCACCTCTTCAAGTGAATGCGGACGCACATATTATCATTCACCATGAACAGGGTGGAGATGGAATGGCAGTGGGTGTAGGTGTGGAAGACGGTATTGTATCATTGGAGCCAAATGATGATTTTGCGATGGGGGCGCCTCCGGGTGCACCAGGGGCCATGGATGAGACGATTCCTGCGCGAGGTCTCCGTGGAGTTGATGTCCCTTTGGCTGATCGAAGAGCTCGCACTGCCCCAGATGCAACGCCCCGTGCCACGGCTGTTCCCCTCCCCGCGGCCCCTATTTTACCGGATGTTTCGCATAGCGAAGAACCTGCCCGCGAGGGCGCAGCTGCGAATCGTGGCGAGCACCCCACTCCAACTGCCACCATGCACACAGTGCGCACTCCGAGTCATCACCACCAGCACCGCGATCCCGACCAAGGTCCGTTCAGGGACGAAGACGTGCTTTTTAGTCTCCAGCTCCTCGCTTATCTTAGCAAGTATCCGCATGTGCGGCAGGCATTCTATAAACAACGCCCATCATTCCATCCTGCGGCTGCTAATTCCAGCCCTCGTCCTCAACAGCAACCTGTTGCTGGACCCAGTGGGATGCGGAATACTCCTGCTCCTGTCCCTTCACCTACGCCACCAGCAAAAGAACAACATGGGTTCTTTCGCGCACTTGCATCCGCTACTGCACGGGGTAAGGAGAAGGAGAAAGCGCCGCTTACTACTCCGATGCAACCTCAACGTATGACGAATGTATTTTCTCTCGTAGAGCGGTTTACTTTCCGCCCCAGCTTGACGGAGAACGAGCTGCCCCAACCGCCACCAAAGCTTCCTCCAGAAATATCCTACTGGGCGGGTGTGATCATGCGAAATGCATGTCGGAAGGACGATAGTCGGGGCGGAATACGGCAATGTGCAAACAGTGAGTGATTTGTTTCCTACCAGTGAATCGATGTTGAGTGAGTATAGTGCTGTGTGGGCGCTGGGAGACCTATCCGCGAGAGTTTGCAAAATGCAGACGATGCCGAAAAGCGAAATATTGTGGCAAAGAATGTCAGAGCACAGCATGGAGCGAAGGACACCGATTCTGGTGTAGTGTGAAGGAGGGAGATGAAGCTGAGGAACCTACGGAGCATCAACACGGTACGGATCATGGTCATGGGGAGGGTGATGGAGAGACGCCTGCATCTGTTGCTGCTGCCGAAGCTGCCCAGGCGCGTGCGGAGAGAAGAGCAGAGAGGGAACGACAACTTCGGGAGCGCGAACGGATTGTAGGAACGATTGCTGCCAATCATATCGTTCAGCAACATATGTTGCACCCGCCCGTGAATCCTCCACCTGTTGCGGCTCAATTGACTGTCCGACCCCGCGGTGCTGTTCTCCCTCCTACCAATCAGCCCCAGCCTGTTATTCCTCAACCACGACGAGGGAGTCCATCAGGATCTGGATTTGGAATGATACCAAACCGAAGGAGGGCAGAGACTGTCTCTGGAGCTATGGATACAGGCGTGCTTAGAGAGACGAGGATGATGCTTGTACATAATGGGTGGCAGCCGCCTCTGAGGAGACGCGGTGGGGAGGTCCGGGAGGATGGGGGGCGTGGGCAGGAGACGTGGGATTTGACGCCTCCTGGTGGTGATGATATGGTTCTGGGGTGAAGGGCACGATGCTCGGCTCACAGATGCTTGCACGTGTGCATTTACGTGTCTAACTGGCAAGCGCGTTACCCCCCTTCTACGCATGCGCACCCCACAACGCGCAACCCTGCCTACAACGCGCATTACCCCCTTATATAACTGCCTGTCTTTCCTTCATTACTGCATACATATATACATAGTACATACATACCTGCATTACGAGCTTAACAAGGTACTCCGTCATATGTTTGAATCTGAAACTATTATATTATTTTGCTTGGCATCGTAACATGTAGTAGGATTAAATCTCATCACATTAATATTAGACTTGTCGGTCAGAGGTGTGTTTGAGGTATGCTCGAGAAAATTTTGTTTCTGGCGTTTTCGGCGAAGTTCCAAGACGCGTCGCGTCCATGAGACCACGTGGCTGGTGAGAAGATGTTTGCCTGGACCAAATAAAACGGCCAAAAAATCGGGAAAGTTCTGTGTGCACAACTTTTCCTTCAGCTTTGCCCACCCGCTTCGTCTCCAGCTTTCTATTCAAACCATGGTGAGTGACCGCGAGATATTAGATACGAGTCTATGTGGATACTGATGGTGGACGGTGTTCCAGGCTGCTCAAGCAACGTTCAAGACCATTAAGGCTGTCATTCCTCTACTCGACCGTGTGTTGGTGCAGCGATTCAAACCCGAAACCGTACGTATCGAAAAGTCGTGACGTGTTTTACACATAATGTTGACGCTACTTTTGCGGTGTCGTGCGGTGCGGTGGAGTAGAAAACAGCTTCTGGGATCTTCCTGCCTTCGTCATCAACTACTACGCCCTTACCTGAAGCGACCGTGATTGCCGTGGGGCCTGGAGCGCCTAATAAGGACGGGAATGTCGTTCCTACTCAGGTTAAGGCTGGCGACCGGGTACTGCTCCCTGGTTGGGGAGGAAATTCGATCAAAGTAGGGGAAGAGGTCAGTTTGTCTTCTGATGGATGTGTGGTGCGTTTGCTGATTGAGTTTTGCAGGAATACTTTTTGTTCAAGGATTCGGAGATCCTCGCAAAGATTAAGGAGTGATAGGACGGCATGGCCACGACGTTTGCTCCGAGTTAAGCAACATTTTATATACGTTAATTTTTTAAAAAGGCTTTGTTTTTACGCACTATTGCCATATATCTGCACGTATCCCCGCTCAATCTGAGTAGTCTGAGGCTATCGCGAAATGCGGTAAAGGTGCGTTTCGCGGTGATGGATGTGATAGGTGGGGTTCGGGGATTTTCCTGTAGGGCCGACAGGCACCCTTAAAGCATGTCCTCTCATGAACTTTCAGTAAGGTTCCGTGCTGTAGCGAAACACACATGTGGTACCAGCGTGCTGACGAATGCCATGTAATTATGTGTGGGACTAGTGGCATCGCCGGCCGCGGGTCATCGCATTTTGGTTACCAGATATACTAGACTAGGCTATAGCTGTCCGACGATCTCCTGGGTGCCTCGACTGAGACCAGAATAACCGTTTATGATTAATGTTCGCGTGATGCTTTTTAGTAGTAGAATGCGCTCGTGCCGGACGCTCCTTGCCGAATCAGGGTTTCACTTAGCCTTTGCGATAAACACGCTTAGTAGTAGTACTTTGCGGCAATGCAACCTATAAAACCCAGATGTCACTCGCTGGATACCAACGTTAGACTCTTGCATTCCTCTCCCTCCCCTGTACCATTCAATTTAACAGGGAATCACGAAAAGCAATGTCCAAGGAGTTAAACCTCGCCACTCCTTCCGGCAAGGAACTTGGCCGTTCAGTGAGTAACCTCGAGACCGCGAAGGGCAATGGCCCTCAGCGTAGTCTTTTGCGCTCCGTTTTTATTGTCATCACTTGTACCGCCGCAATGGTTGTTAATGTGAGTGTCATTGATACCTTCGCTCGCTGACCTTTGTGACATCTTTCTTGACTGTAGATATCTAATACCACCTCCGTCTCTATCTCGCTCCCTACGATTGAGAAGGGCCTCGATATCGAGGAAGAACAGCTTCAGTGGCTCGTATCCGCATATTCTCTCAGTTCTGTGCGTGGTTGCTTCCATTTTGTCTGTCGTAAGGTGGCTCACCTCGTGTTAGGGTTGTCTTCTATTATTCTTTGGCAGATTGGCGGATCTTTATGGAAGAAAAAAGGCCTTTATGCTCGGTACCATTTGCCAGGTTGCATTTTCTCTTGGTTGTGGCTTTGCACAAGGTAGGCGCGCCTCTCCGATCGTCGCGTGCTCCGTTCACTCATAACGTAATCACAGATGGTGTGACTCTCGCTGTGTTGCGTGGCTTCCAAGGTGTTGGAGGCGCTGCTACAATACCATCCGCAGTAAGTTCTTCTGAAATACTTTTCATGGAAAAGTACTCACTCACTTTCTCAGCTCGGTATCCTAGCGCATGCATTCCCACCATCAAGAGCACGTTCGATAGCATTCGCTACCTTTGCAGCGGGTGCTCCTGTCGGTGGCGCGTTTGGCTATGCTCATCGGCGGTGTCCTGACTCAACTTACCTCGTACGTCATCATCAGTATTACTGATATATGCTGTAGTTCTCACGCTGCCACCCAGAACGCATTGGCGCTCTATATTTTATATGGCCGCAGCAACTTCAGCTCTCATTGGAGTTTCTGGTCTTATTTCCTTCGATGCTGACGTTCCCTCATCGGAAGTTGTCAAACGTGTCGACTGGATCGGCGCTTCGCTTGTCACCATCGGTTTGGTTTTGATTGTATTCGTACTCGGTGAAGGAGAAATCGCTTCGGATGGCTGGAAAACTCCGTGTAAGAATCTCACAATATCACCCGGATCATAGGCTAAAATAATCAACAGATATTATCGCGCTCCTAGTGATCGGGGTGATCTTAGTCGCACTATTCTTACTTTGGGAATGGAAGCTGGAACAAATCATCGAGGAAGATCCATCAAGAGCGGCATCCATGTGGACACCGCCACCACTCATGAAGCTCTCACTTTGGACTAGAGCAAGGGGCCGGATGGCCGTTGTTCTCTGTATAGCGTTCTTAAATTGGAGTGCTTTCATTGGATGGAGCTTCTGGGTCCAGGTATGTTCATGTTCCGCAGCCTTAGGGGAAGGACATTGCTGACTCCGCTCTAGCTGTATTATCAGAACTACCTGTTATTGTCGCCGGTCAAGACTATGATCCGTTTCATTCCCATGTTTATTGTCGGCTGTTTATGCAATTTTTTCGTGGCAATGGTCGTTTCCAAATTGCCCCTGGTTATCTTTGTAGGCAAGTGTCTATGTGTGTAATGTTAACATGTGAAATTGACTTGTAGTGCAGTCAGCGGATCACTCTTGACGGCAACTGCCACCATCCTATTCGCCCTTATTGACCCGACCGTCACATATTGGGCCTTCTGTTTCCCATCCACGGTTCTCATCGTGTTCGGCGCTGACTTTGTGTACTCCGCCGGGACTATCTTCATTGCCAAAACCTCGCTCCCACATGAACACAGCGTAGCTGCAGCTCTATTTCAAACTATGACACAGGTAAGTCGTGTGAAAGATACGGTGTTCTATGGTAGACTAACGTGTTTCTGATTAGATTGGCACGGCCTTCGGTCTAACTATATCCACGATCGTGTTCAATAGTGCGGTTGATAAGGAGTCTGCCAAACTCGGTGTTACTGTTAACGCTAGCGGCACTAACGCGCCCATGTCTGCACAACTCGTGGGGTACAAGGATGCGCAGTGGACTTCTACATCATTCGCCTTGATGGGTTAGTACCGAAAAACTGACTTATTTTGAGAACGTATTGCTGACGGTTACCCGTTATTATAGGTGCGCTACTGGCAGCGCTTTTCCTCTGGAGTGTTGGTATCGTTGGACACCAAAGGGTTATCAGACACGTTGATTCCGATGAGACTATGGCTATGAAGCACGAGCCTAGCAGCGCTGAGATATCCCCTAGGCCCAACTAAGCAAGACGTCGATATCCCATGCCTATCAGGAACGACAGACGGTACTCATGCCATCACGAACTCGCATATGCCCCCCTTTACATTTATTCATTCAACCGCACCTCATCATGGGAACCCACGATTCCAAATTCAACATTTCTACCATGAGTCGTCTCGACAATAGTTATCGTACCTGCGTACGATGTCGTTTTGATTCTTTGGCATTGCATGTCTTTGTTTCTGTCGCACACGTTTCAGGACCTGTGGGCACTCACAAAACCAAATCTCAACATTGTTATCATTAATGGTCTCCCTATGTCATAATTATTACTGTACTCGCACACCCCTCTCGTTTTGGACTCTGACATTGCATTTTTTGGTTGCGGTCATTTTTTCTACCTGTAGAACATTACATCTGTTGGTACTGCGGCGATGTCACGATGATCGGGTTATTTATTCATCCTGAAAGGTTGAGGAACGTTTGTTCCTTCTTTCACACAACGTCTGATTTGACTTGGGCTATGTGAGACTACTTGATGATCGCGCACGGTGGTGGGCAGAACTGAGTCCGAACTTCTTCCGCCGAGTACTCTAACGGTAAAATTGTCCATCAACGATGGTCCCAGTGGAGATAACCGACACTTACATGCTAGTTAACTCCCTTGTTCAGCGTTTCAACCCGCTCCGGTTACAAGTCGTCAAAATCAAATTCCTTCGCTCCGACAAGCCCACCGACATCAAATGCCCGTCTTGTTCATAATAAGCGTCCGAGCCTTTCGGCGAAGCTCGGGTGATGCATTGGGCAGATCGTTGTCACGATCTCGAAGCTGTATTTTGGCACTAGAGCGAGAGTTGTCGAGATGTGAGCGCGGTACCGCATGCGTATCCAGTAATAGCGGAACTGTTGGGAGCTTTTTCGAGGTACTGGAAAATAGCGCTAGTGCTAGTGAGCGGGCGGCCGCCAGCTAGGATGGACCATATCCGGTGAAGCTTAAGCTTAAAGCCTGAGGATCAGCACAGCCGGTAAGAGCGATTTGCAACTCCGAGTTAGACAGCGGTGGAGTTTTTGACATTATGGCGTTCGTCGTGGGTTTTTTTTTCTTATCGATGCACCGGGTGCCGAGGCTTGAGCAGACGGTAGAACTAGTCTGCCTAATTGAATGTTCTATTTGGAAGCTACAAGACCATTAATTTACGGGTGATCAGTTCTCGAATTGAATGATGATTTACATGACTATAGGGTATAGTGGGCTGAATAGAATTAGAGCCTTGAAAAACATCATCGCTGATATCAAATGCCAGTTACATAATACTGAAATTTAGACATGTGTCAGTCGCCACGAATCCAATCTATCAAAATTTCTTGTAGGTTGACTCTGCCTGAGCTCGAGGGACCTCCCAGTGGTTTTAAGCATTGCTATCAAATACAAAATCACCTTTTCGCGCGAGTCTCTGATCACCTGGAGTTCCACCAATTCTGCCATTCGCGTTCTATCGTTAGCCAGGTACAGACCAGCTGGCAAAAAAAACTACCGGGCTCTGCCAACACTACAAGCACATACGATCCATATATTAGGTCGCGACAATTTATCGATTATGAATATTGAACCGTTCTCCCTCGCACTCTACACTGTTCACAAATTTCTAGGAAACGCGAAGAGTAATGTCCAAGAGGCTTACTCGTTCGTCAGACTCCATTAGCTTGGAGGAGGCCAAGGACCGTGACGTACAGCGCAGTCTTTGGCGTTCCATCTTCATCATCGCGACATGCACCGCTGCAATGGTGATCAACGTATGTCTTCATTGTAACCATGACGGCTTGCTATTTATTATTGATTATAGGTCTTTAATATCAGTTCTGTCTCTATCTCCCTCCCGAATATCGAAAGGGACCTCAATATCAAGGAAGAGCAGCTGCAGTGGCTCATCTCGGCCTATTCCCTCAGTTCGGTCCGTCATTGCTTCTCTTCATCTTCTTGCATTCGGGCTTACTTTCCTTTAGGGATGCTTTCTCTTGTTCTTTGGCAGGTTGGCGGATATCTATGGTCGGAAGAAGGCCTTCATGATCGGAACTCTCTCTCAAGTCGCATTTTCTCTTGGTTGTGGTTTTGCACAGAGTGAGTGCCACCTATCTATCGGTCCGCTCCATCCGTTTACATTATTATCACAGGTGGCACTACCCTCGTTATTTTGCGTGCCTTTCAAGGCATTGGTGCTGCCGCTACGATACCGTCTTCAGTGAGCATCTTGTATATCTTGATCCGGAATTCTCATGCAGTTTAAAAGCTCGGTATCCTGGCGCATGCATTCCCTCCGTCTAAAATGCGTTCAATAGCTTTTGCAACATTTGCAGCAGGTGCTCCTGTCGGCGGCGCATTTGGCATGCTCATCGGTGGTATTCTCGTACAGATAACATCGTACGTCACAAGCACAAGTTGTTCATGCGAGACGCTAATTTCTTGATGTTTGTATAAAGGTCGCACTGGCGCTCCACATTCTACTTGGTTGCAGTAGTGTCTGCTCTAACGGGTGTTTCCGGCATGATTTCATTCGACGCGGATGTTACTTCGACGGAAGCTGTCGACTGGATCGGTGCTTCCGTCGTTACTGTTGGGTTGGTCTTGATCGTATTTGTGCTTGGTCAAGGAGAAGTTGCTTCTGAAGGCTGGAAGACTCCATGTAAGATT